CCCTGCCCCAACCCATCAGATTATCACCTACTCTCCTCTCCTTTAGGCGCACCCTGAAAACCCACCTCTTCAGGGAAGTCTACCCCACCCCCTGCTAACTTGCCGACCCCCTCCACTCCTCCTACCACTCCATCCCCCACAGCTATCTCCTCCTGTGCCACCATCCCCTCCCTCCTAGATTGTAAACTCGAAAGAGCAGGGCCCTCAATCCCTCATGTTTTGCATTGTATTGTTATTGTTCTATCACATGTTCTGTCCCCATTTGTAATGTACAGCGCTGAGCGAACTATTGGCGCTTTATAAATACTGTATAATAATAATAATAATAATCCAATGGGACATCATCAGGGGCCCCTGATGATGTCATATTGGACAAAATGCCAACTATTAGTGAACAAAATACTCTCTGCACAATTAACGAAACAATCCAATGGATGTGAATATTTACAGGTTGCTGCCAGCACTGATATATGGCACACTATTAGCCCAAGTTCACACTGATGGGGTACGGCACATCGCATCTTCTCTAATAGTCTTGTTTACCATTATCATTGAAAGTAAAAGAAAATCCCAAATTTTGGGCTGTCCTAAAAAAAGTAATAAGGGGGTGATTAGTATTGGTGACCTGGGGGGCCCCAAAGAATCCCCTTAACCACTTGCATGTGATTCGCAACTGAACCGCATCGCATTCCTGTGCAAATAACATTTCTGTTAGAAGTGCATATTAAATACGCATGAAGGAAGTGTCTTTACTCTTCAAACACCTAGGTCCTCAGCACTCTACATCATCCTCTGCTTCCCCGTAGTGATAGGGCTCCAAGGATCATCAAGCAATCACAGGCATCAGGGGTCCCCCTTATTAAAGCAGGCACTGCAGAAGGTGGTGCTCTCAAAGAGAGCCCAATAAGGGACGCCACATAGTGTAATATTGCTATGATGCGTTTTTACTAGATCATTAATAGAAAAAAAAATTTTACTGACCAAAAATTCAGGATGGCCACCAGCGGTGGTTAGATGTCCAGATGCTGTAGCCCCCTGATGCGTTTCGTGCTAAGCACGTCCTCATAGGGTGCAGGGCTGTAGAGTGCGGCCTGACCAGAATGCTGAGGACCTAGGTGTTTGTAGAGTAAAGACACTTACCTTCATGCGTATTTAATACGCACTTCTGGTGAGTGCGCATTCTATTCATTTATCAATCTTCACCTCTGGATTGCACACTATCACTATAGACAGGATCCCACAGGATTGATATGATTTATACCTTGTGATCTGGACATTTGTGTGATCATTAATCGTCATTTGCACTCTGTGCATTCATATAAGTTTTGCATATCGCACATAATATTTTTATTGTTATTTGCACTTTAGCTCTTAGCGCTGCACCTTTATTTCTCTATTATCTTTATAAGGTGCATTATGGAACTTTAGCGATGTGGTATGCCTTTTAGCACACACCGATTAGCTATAACTTTATGACCGCCCACCTAATACTGAGTAGATCCCCCTTTTGCCATCAAAACAGCCCTGACCCATCTCAGCATGGACTCCACTAGACCTCTGAAGGTGTGATGTGGTATCTGTTACCAAGCCCTCAGTAGCAGATCCTTTAAGTCCTGTAAGTTGCAAGGTGGGACCTCCATGGATCAGACTGGTTTTTCCAGTACCTCCCACAGATCCTCGATTTGATTAAAGTGTTAATAAACCCTGGACCCTGCATTCACTCTATCCGCTCTCCCTGGACCCTGCATACACTACCTCCCCTGCGGCACTCTCCTATGGAGGTCTCGTCTGGTCCCATTCACCAAGACTGAGCGGTCACAAAGGTGGTGGTGTCGGCTTGCTCCTATCACCGCTGAGCACCTTCCAGATCCTCCCTAACCCCCCCCCTATCCTTCTCTTCCTTCGAGGCTCACTACATTCGGCTCTTCACCCCCACCCCCCTAAGGATCACAGTGATCTACAGGCCTCCCGGATCCATACCCCGCTTCCTGGATGACTTCGCCGCCTGGCTTCCCTTCTTCCTTTCCTCTGAGCTACCGACCATCATCCTTGGGGACTTCAATATCCCCATCAACGACATCAACCTTGCTACTTCCCAACTCCTCCACCTAACCTCCTCCTTCACGCTCACAAAGCACACTCAATCCTCCACCCACATCAATGGGAACACCCTGGACCTCGTCTTCTCCCACCTATGTACCCTCAGCCATTTCACTAACACCCCCCTTCCCTCTCTCCGACCACCACCACCTCCTCATTTTCTCCATCTCCCCTTCCCCAGAAACTCCCTCCCCCAGAGCACCAAACCATCACCAGCCGCAACCTCCGCAACCTGAACCCGGCCCCCCTCCACTCTGCTGCCAACCGCCTACACGACAGCATCCTTCCACTGTCATGTCCTGACCTAGCCACCACCACGTACAATGACTCACTGTCAGCTGCCCTAGACTCTCTGGCACCCCTAACCACACGCAACATCAATCCTAGACCACTCCAACCATGGCAGAACAACCATACTAAATGCCTCAAAGGTCGCAGTCGTGCGCTGGAGAGACTGTGGCGCAAAACCAGGTCCCATTGTGCGTTCTCCCTCTACAAATCTGCCTTCCTCACTTACACCTCCTCCCTCCATGCCGCCAAGCAAGCCTACTTGGTTAACCTGATCAACACCCTCTCCACCTGCCCTCGCCGACTCTTCTCCACCTTCAACTGTCTAATCTCCCCCCCCCCCCCCCCCTCCACTCAGTACCTCACTTACCGCCCACGAGATTGCCACTCATTTCCACAACAATTGACGCAATCTGCAAGGACATAGTCAACTCACAATCTACCTCCCCACCTAGCCCCCCCCCCCCCCATCTCCTCCTCATCTCCTCCCTCCTCTGACCTCACAACCGCACTGCCCCCCACTACACCCAAGGCCCCGATTACTGTAACCCCCCCAGCACTGCGCTCCTTCAGCCTTACTACCACTGAGGAAGTCACCAGGGACTTCTCAGAAGCCCGCCTCACTACCTGCCCCCTGGACCCTATCCCCTCTCAACTACTCCGGTCACCCCCTCTTACCTCATCTGCTCCCTCACCCACATCTTCAATCTCTCCCTCTCAACCGGCATATTCCCCTCCCCCCTAAAGCATGCGCACATCACCCCCATACTCAAAAAGCCCTCCCTGAACCTCACTGACCCAAACAACCTCAGACCCATCTCCCTGCTGCCACTCACTTCCAAGCTCCTTGAGCGCTTCGTCTACGACCGCCTAAGCGCCCACCTAACTGACAACAACCTCCTTGATCCACTACAGTTCCGGCTTCCGTCCCCTGCACTCCACCGAAGCCACCTTACTCAAAATCACCAACGACCTACTAACCACCAAAGCCAAAGGTGACTACTCTGTCCTCCTTCTCCTGGACCTCTCCGTGGCCTTTGACACAGTTGACCACCCCCTCCTCCTTAATAAACTACCCTCCTTTGGCATCAGAGACACCGCTCACTCCTGGTTTTCCTCTTACCTATCCCGACGCTCCTTCAGCGTTTCCTGCAACGGTGCCACCTCCCCTTCCCTCCCCCTCTCTGTTGGGGTCCCCCAGGGCTCTGTCCTTGGACCTCTTCTCTTCTCCATCTACACCTCCTCCCTTGGCCAAACTCATACACTCCCACGGCTTCAACTACCACCTCTACGCTGATGACACTCAAATTTACCTCCCAACCCCTCACCTCACCCCCTCAGTCTCCGCCCGCCGTATCACTCACCTCCTAAACTATATCTCTGACTGGATGTCGCTCCATTTCCTCAAGCTTAACCTATCCAAAACCGAGCTTCTCGTCTTTCCCCCTGTCCTCGGCCCCCCCCCCCATCCTATCCTATCCATCTACCAACAACACCACCATCAATCCCGCCCCGCAAGCCAAAGTCGTTGTCATTCTGGACTCAAACCTTTCCTTCCAACCTCATGTCAAATCACTTACAAACACATGCAGGCTCCACCTCCGGAACATCGCCAAGATACGCTCCTTCCTTACCCCAGACACCACTAAACTACTCGTACACTCCCTGATTATCTCACGCCTTGACTACTGCAACTCCCTCCTCACCGGCCTACCCCAGTGCAAACTCTCCCCGCTTCAGACCATCCAGACTCATCCATCCACCTCACCAGCCGCTCCACCTCTGCCACCCCCCTCTGCCTCTCCCTCCACTGGCTCCCTATCGCCCAACGCATCAAATTCAAACTACTCACTCTGACCTACAAAGCCATTCACAACACTGCCCCTAACTACCTCACCGACCTGATTCCCAGGTACCACCCTACCCGTTCCCTCGCTCTTCACAGGACCTCCTTCTGTCTTGCTCCCTGGTCTCCACCTCCCACGCAAGACTCCAAGACTTCTCCAGGTACTCCCCCATCCTCTGGAACTCACTACCCCAATCCATCAGACTGTCACCTTCCCTCCTCACCTTCAGGCGCTCCCTGAAAACCCACCTCTTCAGGGAAGCCTACCCCACTCTCACCTAACAGCCGTTCTCCTTCCTTCATTCCTCCCACCACTCCATTCCCCTCAACCACTTCCTCCTGTACCACTACCCCCTCCCTTCTAGATTGTAAGCTCGAAAGAGTAGGGCCCTCGAACCCCTCGTGTGCTGTTTGTAGTTGCTGTACTGTTTCATGTATTGTCCCCCCCCCCTTTTTGTACAGCGCTGAGCAAACCATTTGGCGCTATATAAACTCGATGTAATGTAATGTAATCCGCTCTCCCCAGACCCCGCATTCACTATATCCGCTCTCCCCAGACCCGGCATTCACTATATCTGGTCTCCCCGGACCCTGCATTCACTATATCCGCTCTCCCCGGACCCCACATTCACTATATCCGCTCTCCCGGGACCCTGCATTCACTCTATCCGCTTCCCCGAACCCTGCATTCACTATATCCGGTCTCCTCGGACCCTACATTCACTATATGCGCTCTCCTTGGACCCAGCATTCACTATATCTGCTTTCCTCAGACCCTGCATTCACTATATCCGCTCTCTTCGGACCCCGCATTCACTATATCCGCTCTCCTCGAACCCTGCATTCACTATATCTCATCCCCCTGGACCCCGCATTCACTATATCCGCTCTCCTCGGACCCTGCATTCACTATATCCGCTCTCCCCGGACCCCGCATTCACTATATCCGGTCTCCTCGGACCCTGCATGCACTGTATCCGCTCTACTCGGACCCTGCATTCACTATATTTCATCCCCCTGGACCCCGCATTCACTATATATCCGCTCTCCCGGACCCTGCATTCACTATATCTGCTCTCCCCGACCCTGCATTCACTATATCTGGTCTCCCCCGGACCCCGCATTCACTATATCTGCTCTCCCCGAACCCTGCATTCACTATATCTGTTCTCCCCGGACCCCGCATTCACTATATCTGGTCTCCCCAGACCCCACATTCACTATATCTGCTGTCCCCGAACCCCTCATTCACTATATCTGGTCTCCCCAGACCCCGCATTCACTATATCTGGTCTCCCCAGACCCCTCATTCACTATATCTGGTCTCCCCAGACCCCGCATTCACTATATCCGCTATCCTCGGACCACTCATTCACTATATCCGCTTTCCCCGGACCCTGCATTCACTATATCCGCTCTCCCCGGACCCTGCATTCACTATATCCGCTCTCCCCGGACCCCACATTCACTATATCTGATCTCCCCGGACCCCGCATTCACTATATCCGCTCTCTCCGGACCCCGCATTCGCTATATCCTCTCTCCCCGGACCCCGGACCCCGCATTCCCTATATCCGCTCTCCCCGGACCCCACATTCACTATATCCGCTCTCCCCGGACCCCGCATTCGCTAAATCCGCTCTCCTCGGACCCCTCATTCGCTATATCCGCTCTCCCCCGGACCCTGCATTCACTATATCCGCTCTCCCCGGACCCCGCATTCACTATATTTGGTCTCCCTGGACCCTGCATTCACTATATCCGCTCTCCTCGGACCCCTCATTCACTATATCCGCTTTCCCCGGACCCTGCATTCACTATATCCGCTCTCCCCGGACCCTGCATTCACTATATCCGCTCTCCCTGGACCCCGCATTCACTATATCCGCTCTCTCCGGACCCTGCATTCCCTATATCCGCTCTCCTCGGACCTCACATTCACTATATCCGCTCTCCCCGGACCCCGCATTCACTATATCCGCTCTCCCCGGAACCTGCATTCACTATATCCGCTCTCCCCGGACCCCGCATTCACTATATTTGGTCTCCCTGGACCCTGCATTCACTATATCCGCTCTCCCCGGACCCTGCATTCACTATATTTGGTCTCCCTGGACCCTGCATTCACTATATCTGGTCTCCCTGGACCCTGCATTCACTATATCCGCTCTCCTCTGACCCCTCATTCACTATATCCGCTTTCCCCGGACCCTGCATTCACTATATCCGCTCTCCCCGGACCCTGCATTCACTATATCCGCTCTCCCCCCCCCGGACCCTGCATTCACTATATCCGCTCTCCATGGACCCCACATTCACTATATCTGATCTCCCCGGACCCCGCATTCACTATATCCGCTCTCTCCGGACCCCGCATTCGCTATATTATCCGCTCTCCCCGGACCCCGCATTCCCTATATCCGCTCTCCTCGGACCCCACATTCGCTATATCCGCTCTCCCCGGACCCCGCATTCACTATATCCGCTCTCCCCGGACCCCGCATTCACTATATCCGCTCTCCCCGGACCCCGCATTCACTATATTTGGTCTCCCTGGACCCTGCATTCACTATATCCGCTCTCCCCGGACCCTGCATTCACTATATCTGGTCTCCCCGGACCCTGCATTCACTATATCCGCTCTCCCCGGACCCTGCATTCACTATATCCGCTCTCCCCGGACCCTGCATTCACTATATCCGCTCTCCCCGGGCCCTGCATTCACTATATCTGGTCTCCCAGGACCCCACATTCACTATATCCACTCTCCCCGGACCCCGCATTCACTATATTTGGTCTCCCCGGGCCCCGCATTCACTATATCTGGTCTCCCAGGACCCCACATTCACTATATCCACTCTCCCCGGACCCCGCATTCACTATATCTGGTCTCCCAGGACCCCACATTCACTATATCCACTCTCCCCGGACCCCGCATTCACTATATTTGGTCTCCCCGGACCCTGCATTCACTATATTTTGGTCTCCCTGGACCCCGCATTTACTATATCCGCTCTCCCCGGACCCCGCATTCACTATATCCGCTCTCCCCGGACCCCACATTCACTATATCCGCTCTCCCCGGACCCCGCATTCACTATATCCTCTCTCCCCGGACCCCGCATTCACTATATCTGGTCTCCCCAGACTCTGCATTTACTATATCTGGTCTCCCACAGTACGCAGAACATTTATTGTCAAATATTTTAGTAAATATAAACTGATAAATACCTTTTCTCATCAGCAGTATATAGCAGTCTTGTGACTTCAGTAGAGCACATGTTAAAGCTTGTAGAAGGAGTTTTCTTTCTTCTCTAGGAGGATGCAGAATCCCTGACCACACTAAACTGAGCATGTGCATGTGACTATGGGTTCAGTATGTATCAGGTGAACAAAAGGAGGGGCAGAGAAGACAGGATCAAACAGCGTTTTTACACAATGCAGAGGATTAAACCCTCAGGTTCCACAGTGAGTATAACAAGCATGCTTTACTGCATCTACAGACTGATTGTACTGTTGTGGGTTTAGTAACACTTTAAGATCTGGAGAATTTAGAGGCCAAGTCACCACCTCAAACTCATCTATGTTTTCCCTTAAATCAGTCTTGAACCCATTTTTGCAGTGTTTAAGTACTTTGACACCCCCAGCCCACCTCTGAGGCATAAATAATTATCTGATGTAAACTGTCTTACATTCTTGTGCTTCCTGTATTGAATTCAGAAGGGATGTAATTTCGGTCACATGTGCTGCCAATAAATCATTTTCTCCTTCAAGAAACTGTGAGGAATATCCATGGCAGCATCAAAATAACACGTTTTAAGCTGAGCATGTACTATACAATCTGATTGTACAATCTCCTTTAGATCTATCATCAGCTATGTAGTGCAAGGGCCTGCCTGATTGGATACAAATTGTATGTGTATGATAGCCTTTACCTTCACAGTTGTTAAAGGTCTGAAAAATTGTTGGGTTTATTTGTGAACAGATTAGGGAAGAGTTAGGCTAGGTTCGCATTCTCATGAACGGGTGTTTGTGCAACTTTTTTTGTGTGCGTCTTTGCGATTACGCACTGCACTACGCACATAGGGCAGTCCATTCATTTCAATGTTCTATGTGTGACAAATGTGCCAAAGTAGCTCATGTACCTTTTTGAGCATTGAGCTTGTTTAACTGCATGTTTTTGCACATTTGTTGCGTGCTCTGCGGCAAAATAAAAAACATGCGTCTACTTGCTGCATTTGGGTTGAATTTAGAATAAATGGCACTGCAAGCGCAACATGCGTCATTCACGCATTTTGTGAACACGCAAAAAAAATATACACTTTTGCACACGTTTATGAAATCCTTGCAATGCTTTCTTACCCCAGGTTTTACACCTAAGCGTTTTCCGCAGCGTTTTGCAGAAACGCAGTACAGTCCATTTAACATGATTTCCTATGGGACAACGTTCAGATCTCCACGTTTTTTGGAAAGGGTCAGGGACTTTTTTTTAACACAAAAAGTTGCGTTTTTGGTTCTATAGACTTCAATAGAAACACTGCAGAAAAACATGTAGTAAGTTTTGTTTTTTGATGTGTTTTGTGTTCTAAATCTGCCTAGCAACAAGAAAAATTTTAAAAATGAAACAAAATGCAAAACGCTGCAAAAACGCAAGTGCCGAAACGCAACGCAAAACCCAATGCAGAAATGGCTCAAACGCAACCTGCATAGGTGTGAGCCTAGCCTTAGCGCACTTTCCCAACATGTACAGAAATGCGCTGCTCTTTAGCAGGCACATGAGGGTGCCATTGATTCTTAATGGCACCGCCATGTATCAGCAAGTGCACCAAACCACGATGCGATTCGATGCAGCGAGATTTTACAATAGGATCAGGGACTTCTTTCCCTGTGTTTCTCACAGTTAGGGCAGTCCACTGAAATAAATGCCCAACATGCAACGTGTAGGAACATACAAAAGACACGCACGTAGGTCATACCCTGCTGGTGTGAACATAGCTTAAGAAACCATAGCAGATTTTTATTGTGTGTGCTGCCTGGGAAGATTTTTTTCTCACTTCATCCCCTGGGTGACACAACAAGGAAAACCCTCCAACATGAGGGGAAATTTCACCCATGCAACCAGCGTTTGTGCTCTGTGTTCCTTTTCACATGTTTGCCAGGCTATTCTTTACTGTTCCACTAAAACCATATGTTGTTTATAGAGTTTAATAGCTCAAGCTCAATTTTACACATACAACTGAATAAATCAGAGGGGTGGCTCCTCCCCTTCCTGCCCGCTCTGTTCAGGCAGGGTTATCATTCAGTGAGAGAGCACCTGAAGGCAAACAGTTTCTTATTTGCTCTCTGGAAACGGGGTGGGAGGATTGGACAGAATTTGGAACAGTTGTGTATGGCCAGGGCTGCTGTTAGAAACCATTGGGCCTTAACAGCCAACCTAACAGAACCCCCCCCCCCCCCAAAAAAAAAAACAGTTTTCTAGGCTTCAGGTATGAATGAACACAGTTTGTGATCAGTACCGATCACTCATTGTGTTCATTCAGGAAAGGAAGTGGCTGGTAAATGTGAGCTATTTACCGGTCCCTTCCTCTACTCCCCATCCTGAAAGATCCTATTGTGTGTTGGCAGCTGCCAGTGGGAAGGAGAGGGAGTCGGCAGCACACAGTAGAAGGGCACACAGGGGGGCCTGGGCAGCAGGGGGAAACATATGGTGCACAGGGAGGGTGATGGATGCAGTGGGAAAGGGGGCAATCACTGGAACCGATCCTGTATATGGCAACAGCTGAAAGCCAGCAGGAGGGAGAGGAGAAGAAGCCATCTTTCAGCTGCTGCATAGAGGGGATCGGTTCCAGTAATTACCCCCCAATGCCAATCACCCTCACTGCTGGGAGTAGAGAATGGGGAACTGAGCTGCTGAATAACTGCTGGGAGGGGAAACTGAGCTGCTGAATCACTACGAGGAGGGGGAGAAGGGAAATTGAGTTGCCAAATCCCTGCTGGGAGGAACAACTCAAAGAACTTCAGTGTCTCATCTATGAGCTTCCCCAATAACGTTAAGGGATTCTTTAGTTCTAAAGCCCTTGTAAAGAATATAATTAGGTGTGTAATACATTCATTGGAAATAAAAGTTTTTTATTCCATGTTTTCATTCTTACAAAGGAGTAAAATATTCAATGACAATTAAACAAGAAGACTCTCAGCCCATAAACACCCGCCACT